ACGAGGTCATAATTAAGCTGAAAAACACAAATAAAAAACTACAAGTAGGCAAATCAACAATATTGTGCAATCTTAAAAAGCAGAGATATTGGCCAGCTCCGCAACACCAAATAGCCTGAAATATCACAGACGACAACTAAAGAGATGGTGACAGAGTTATTTCCATGGTTAAGAAAATCATGTTCACAACATCTAAGCTATTTAAGAACACTCTGGGAGTTAGGCATAACAGAGGTTTTACAACAAGGTGGAAACAACTGGTTACACTCAAGAATAAAAAGGCCATTTTAGACATCTAAAAGAGGCTACAAAATCTGGAGAAACAGCTTATGATCCAAAGCATATGACATTACCTGTCAACGGAAAAATTATGGCATGGGCATGTTTGGCTGCCAGTGGGAACGGGCCACTAGTGTTTATAAGTGATCAGGCAATCAGGATGAATTGTGAAGTGTACAGGGCTGTAGTCTCTGTTTAGATTCAGGCAAGTGTTGGGCAGTGCTTCTCAGCGCAACTAGATAATGAACCAAAGCATACTGCAAAAGCAACCCAAGAGTTTCTCAAAGCAACAAAACGGGATATTCTTCAATGAGAAAAACACTGATCTGATCTCAGCCCAAGCTTTTCAGTTATTAAACACAAAACTGAAATTACAAATAAATATGTCTTTTATTGACCTAATAGTAATATAAGCAGAGGAAAAAACAAGCTCCTCTTACTTAACAACTAAATGAAATAGCAACTCAGCTGCATTATGGGAAAAGTGTCCAACCTTTAACTGATCATTTCAAACCTGAGGATCTGAGGTCGTTATTTTAGGATCTCTCTTTTCTGGGGGACATTTTATAGACCAAGACATCAATCAACTGCTGTAATTTCAAAAAAAATAATTAAAAGATTGATCGCTAATGAAAAATGTAATTAACCACAACCTTTACTCGTCAAGAGATGTGATAAGTTTAATCTAAACATCTTCCCTCCCTACCTGTAAGACTTTATTAGTTTAACTCTTTCCCCCAAGAGGACCGCCTCTGTACCCACCCCAATATATCAATAACAACCATTAAATAGGTTCTGGGTTCTTCCTCAGCAGGCGGTGTAGGAAGAGATCATTCTCACTAACTTCTGATGCACAGTTCCCATTCCCAGTTGTTTTATTCTGGAAGCAGGTGTGAAATATGACACAAACTGCTCACATTCTAGCAGACGTGCAAGGGAAGAAAGAGTTAAGGAAGAAAATTACAACCTGAACACAATGATAACTCTCAGCATACAAGATAGAAGTTCAGCCTACCCCGTGTCTCTGTGCAGTTACAACAGTCTTGCTGCTGGGTTTTGGTGTCTTCCTCTTCATCTTCGTGGTGGCAACAAAGTAGACAGCGCCCTCCAGCCTCTAAAATAGCCTGAGCAGAACACACTGTGCAGTTGGACGGACCGGGTCCCCGACACTCCAGGCAGGAACTATCACAGTCTTCACACGAGTGGCTTGAACCCTGATGAAGGACAGGGGTGACTCAGAGCTACAGCATTTTTGCATCATAACTACTGATTCTTTGCTTCCAAAAGTTTTTTTTAAAATGCTGAATAAAAGCGCAACCAGCCTCTCAGCACAGTCAATTAACATTCATCTACCTGTCCAACAATTTCAATCCACAGCTTCACAGCATGAGCTGCGAGGTTTATTTAGAAATTGTGACACAGACAGTAATAATTTTCGCTGTGATGTTTGAGATTTCTCCTGGTGCAGTAATAACCCAGTCTGAATTACATTATGTGATACCTGGGGCCAAAGCATTCAAAGTAATTATTTTGCTGAACGACATGTACTCGTGTTTTTTTAATTTTTTAATGAAAAGTTAATATTTGTGAAATTAAAAATGCCGGTACCTTTATTATGGGATGCTGGCCTTTATCGCATATGGACTCACACCTGCCATATGACAGCAGGTAACCAGGGTAGCAGGAGTCACAGGACTCGGGAAGTTTTCCTGTAGGTACACGACAATGTAAAGGGTTAGCCTGATGATTTTCTGTGTTTTTATTACTGTCAAAAAAATGCTTAAAATGCTGTGTCAAACTTTTAATATCACCAGCCACCTTCTTTCATTTAACTTAAAGTTCAAATGTTTGCATTATTCTTTTATAAACAATTTAATCCAGGTACTCAAGGTTGAAGTAGCAAAAACTGCACTCACAGTGGTGTAAAAAAGGGTTTGCCCCCTTCCAAACCTACACGGCACTGTGTGAAACAATGAGTTCATTTTCAGTTTCTGAAAATAAACTATGTTTCACCACCCAGGGCTGATTACTGCCACAGCTGTTCATCAAGAAATCACTAAATTAGGACCTGGTTGACAAAGTGGAGCAGATCAGAAGATTCTCAAAAGCCGGACATCATGCCGTTTGGCTGGCCCATCAAAATCACTCCAAGAGCACAGCAACAACTCATTCAAGAGGTCACAAAAGATCCCAGAACACCATCTACAGAACTGCAGGGCTCACATGACTAAGGTCAGGGTTCATGGCTTCATCATATGAAAGAGACCTGGCTTAAATGGCCTGCACTGCACAGTTCAAAGACAAAAACCACTACTGAGCAAAAGGAATAGAAGGGATTGTCTCTTTTGTGCCAGAAAACATCCTGATGATCCCCAAGACTTTTGGGAAAATACTCTGTGGACCTCCAAAAGTTGATTCTGTTCATCTAGACGTGGCGTTTTCAGTGGGAGAAACATTTTGTCACTCATCCAAGTGACTTCTTCAGCCTCAGCTGACTGCAGGTTTCCCCAATCTTATAAACAGTACATTTGCATAATGAGTGAAACCAGCACCACTGAAGGAACAATGGGCTGGTTGATCAACAACCACTGATCAATGGCCATGAGTACCATTCACAGAGAGCTGTGGAATGGCTGCAATCACAGCATTGTAAGATGGTGACAGATGTACCCTTAGGCCCTCTCCTCGATCCAGAGATGGTCTTTACCTTTTCACGTAAATGGCCTCCTTGACTCCGCACTCAAACCAGCGTTCCTCCCTGTCCAGGATGTGCACATCCTCATCCTTGAAAGAGTGTCCACTGGCCTGTAGGTGTAAATAGACCACAGAGTCCTGGCCTGACGAGGTAGCTCTTCTGTGTTGTGCCGTCCGCTTCGCCAGAGGTTGTTTGGTTTCCCTGATGTATGAATCCTGGCAATCCTCCTGGCACTTAACAGCGTACACTATGTTACTCTGTTTGTGTCGGGGGACCCGATCCTTGGGGTGGACCAGTTTTTGGCGCAGCGTGTTTTGGGGTTTAAAAGCCACAGAGACCCGGCGTTTAGAAAAAATGCATCTCAAATGCTCCGATACTCCTGACACGTACGGGATCACTACAGGTTTTCGCTTGGGCAGCAGTTGTCCTTCTCTCCTGGATCGGCTGGAGCTTTCTTTAGGCGCCTTCCCAGCTTTGACAAAAGACCAGCTGGGATAACCACATTTACTCAGGGCCTTCTTGATGTGATGTTCTGCTGTGTCTGTGGGGATGGTGTTTGCTCTGTGCTGTAGCTTAAATACTGATCCGTATGTGTAGGTTTACGGTACACAACAGCTTTTAAATGTCCCCCATTACTGATGGAAATCTCACAGTCTAAGAAGGCTAACCTGCCACTTTTCATATCCTCCCTGGTGAATTTGATGAGTTGTTCTGATCCGTGAATTGCAGTAGGTCCTGAGATTTGATTTTCACCCAGGTGTCATCCACATATCTGAACCAATGACTTGGTGGTGTTCCAGGGTAGGATAGCAAAGCCCTCTTTTCCACTTCTTCCATGTACAAATTGGCCAATAGGGTGAAACTGGGGAGCCCATGGCACACCCATGTTTCTGCCTGTAGAACTGACCCTTGCATGTGAAGTAGGTGGAATGAAGACAGTTCCAAAAGCAAACACACTTGGTCGATGCTGAGACTGGTCCTGTTGTTGAGGTTGGGGTCATCCTGTAATCTCTTACACTCTGTGGACCGACAAGACAAAAATTGAACTTTTTGGAAGGTGTGTGTTCCATTCAGGTGGGGCACTTGCTATGGCATGACTTTTAAAAAACCCTGCTCGAAAACCCTCCAGCGTGGCTGAATTACGACAATCCTGCAAAGATGAGTGCGGCAAAATTCCTGCACAGCAGTCACTTGTGGTCTACGTAGGTTTGGAATGTTTCCCTTAATAATAAACACCTTATTTGTTAACTGCATTTTGTGTGTCTTTTTTTGATCTTAAACATTTAAGTGTGACAAACATAAAAAGAAAACAGGAAGGGGGCAGACACTTTTTCACACCACTGTAACTGAATGGCTGCTAATGGCTGGTTTAAGCTGTCCTTTACAGTTTTAAAAAGCATGTTTACAAATTGGCACAAAAATGTTTTTGGCCTTTCTTTTTCACAGCTGTGAGGTGTGTGAGCAGAGTGTGATTTGCATGGTGGGAGTATAAAGAAAAATATAAAAATTCCTCCTCCCCTTCTGATTTTAGTGCTGAATCTTGAAACTGCCTACAGCGCAAAAGACAATCAAATCAGAAACTGACTTTCACTCTCAGCAGTCGTGTTCCTGTGACAGAAAAGATGACACAGCGTAGGGCGAACGATCTGAGCCATTTCTGAGCCAAGCAACTTTTCAGTAAGGTGCCAAGCACTGAGTGAAAACTACCATTAACAAAATAAAAAAGAAATGATTCGGAGTGTCATGTTTTACAGGAGACTCACCCCCCCAAAGGAAAAAAAAAAAAAACCTACTACAGCTTCTTATTTAAAATGCTACACTGCAGTTATGCACCAAGGCTGGATGATTCACTCATTGAATCAATCACAGTTAAAACTTTGGTCCATGATGTTGTGAGAATTATTCACTCTCAAACTCGCGAGGGTTAATTATGGCACGTTATTATGTTTATAACAGGGATGTCAAAACAGTTTTTCATTGTCGGCCACATACAGCCCACTCTGATGTTAAGGAGACTGGACCAGTGAAGCTCTCCTTTCTGTCAGTGTAAAGAAGAAGTATATATTTAATCCCCGAGAGAGCATAATTTAAACTGTGTAGTCATTTAATTGTAATCAAAGCTGCTAAGCTTGTGACAATACAGTTAAAAGTCCAAAATGTATACCTTCCGGCTTTCAAAAGCCAGTCAGTGGGCTGGATTAGAGTCTTTGCCTGGCTGATTCTGCCACCTGGGCCTTATTTTTGACACACATACACTAACTGCAGTAGTAAATAATTCATAGTTTAACAGGCTTCATAGTATATATGGCAACACTGGTTTCTTTACATTTTTTTACTTTATTTTTTATCATCTCACTCATTAAAAGTGATATATGATATCATTTTTAGTGGGCAGCATTTACATAGATGCTAATTACTCCTCACATTTGCTTATTGAAGTAGAGTGTCCTCTGTTGCATTTTAATGTAATTAAGTGACAAATACCATCACCTGCTGTGCAGTTAATTGTACTATTAACAAGAAGTCTGTGCTTCAGTTGTGGTGAATAAAATTCTAACATTTTATTTGTAGTCAGATTAAAAAGCAGGTGTCTGTGTCTGTGGGTGCAGCTTGCTAACCACTGCTTAAATAAACAGGTGATGTCTGGGTGGCTTTACATCTTTAATGTACAGTCTGTGATCTACAGTACCATACATCTGTCTGTAACATTTTTAATGTTACTTTCACCACATTTCATAGTCTCCAATGATTATATAGCTATTGACATGGAGAAAAAATAGTATAATCAAAATATTATGAGTGTGTGTGTGTGTGTGTGTGTGTGTGTGTGTGTGTGTGTGTGTGTGTGTGTGTGTGCGTGCAATACATGAAGCTTTTCCTGACACTTGTACCTGAGCAGGTTCTGCAGCTGGCATGGCAGTGCTCGCAGGTCCTGTGCACAGTGTCATGGTAGTATCCTTGAGGGCATGAGGCGAGACAACGGCCTTGTTTCCGCAAATAAATGAGGCCCGGAGCGCAGCTCAGGCAGCCGTTCTCCTCATCGCCAATACACTCACCACAACTGGGGTCACACTTTTCACACATTCTTGAGGCAGTGTTTCCATAGTGACTAGAGGATGGACAGATGGTCAAAAGTTATCACAGACTGCATTCAATTAAAAGAAATGAGATTAGAGCTTTGCTATTCCTCAAAGGAAATATCTTTACTCAGACTCACATTTAGCCATAGACATCTATAAATACTAACGTAATAGAGTAGAAAAAGAAAACAAATATTACTCTGGCATTGCTAGGCAATGCTGCATTGTCTGCATGCTGGTCTGTACAGTCTTTATATCCTGTTTGTGTTTTCTGAGTGAGTATTTAGCTGCATATCAGTTTAACGGTACATTAATTTGACTCCTAATCACCGCCTACTCCCTCAAAAATAAAGTATTATTAGCCTTTTATAGGCTATTTAAATGTCTGACCAAATTAGCTTGTACCTCCACATTGCACCCTGTCCATGTAATTAAAGAGCAACGGTTCAGTGTCCGTAACCTATTTGTGTGAATATGCTGATCTTTTTTCGTTAACGGCTACACTGTCTAACTGCATGTAATGTGATAATATGATGGATGAGCAGCAGAAGGACGGGGGGCAGGTTAAACTACCTGTGCTGGCAGGTCTCCACGCATTCTTTGCCCTCTCGAAATAGGTGGGCTTTACATGTGAGGCACTCGTGGTTGTGCTTTCCAACACAGGACTTACAAGAAGCGTGGCAGGGTTCGCATTTCTGCCCAGACTCCTGCTCGTAGTAGCCTGTTGGGCATTGATCCACACAGGTGCCATCTGTACCAACAAACACACGATCACGGGGGCTAAGCAAACATCGCAGATGCCTGACAAGCTTTCCAGGACACACAGCCTTGAGAGAAATCACTAGCTCTACCAAAAAAAGAAGAAAAAAAAAGAACTCGACTCACTGAGCAGGAGATGTCTTGGGTTGCAGCTCAGGCAGTGGGTTTTGCCAGGACCCGAACACCTGTAGCAGTATTTGTGACACGGATGGCATTCCCCGTGCTGGTCTATGTACTGGTGAGGCGAGCACTTACTGGCTGATGGAATGCACTGGCTGTTACCATCCAGCATCTGACCCTCTCTGCAGCTGGTGCAGGAGCTAGCATGAGGTCCAAAGCACGTGAGACATGATGTATTGCAGTCTGGAAACAGAATTAGGAAGTAATTTAGTAGGATAGTATCAATGTTCCATCTCGACTTGATATCTATATCAGTTTAATATAGTTTGACACCAAACTATAATCATATTAGGCAGAAGAATAAAAAAAAAAAACCATGCCAGGACTAAGTGCCAAAATATGTTTTACAAGTAAAAGTCCTGCAATGACAATGTTATATAATGTTTTACTTAAGCGTGTCTTTCCATACAGACTCAGACAAATCTGAAAAGGTTCCCCACCTCAGAATTAGATTATTTAATAAAATAACCTTATTTTAACCTTATATACATACATTAAGCCATGTATTGTACTATATATATATATATATATATATATATATATACATATATGAAAAATACTGTAAATTTTTCTAAAATACACGACCTTAGGAACTGCAGAGAGAATAGAGAGAAAACCCCAACAATCAGATGACCCTCTATGTACAAGCAGTTAGTGGTGACAGTGGGAAAGAAAAACTCCCTTTTAACAGAAAGAAACCTCAGAACCAGGCTCAGGGAGGGGCTGCCATCTGCAGAGGCAGAAGAAGCTTGGAGCTTGAGTTTGGGAGACAAATACTCTCTCTCTTTTTAAATTATGAGTAAAATGTTGCTCTTTTGTTTATTTCTCTTTTGATAAAGCTCAGAGTTATAGATCAGATGACCCTGAACCGTCCTTGAGTCTTCTCTCCTCATCTATTTGCATGCCACTGTTCTTTGTTTTTCTCTCTTGTGAAGTTCTGCTGAAGTCTGTTTGTTGTTTATCATCTCTCTGTGCTCTTCTCTCCTCTCTTCCCTTTCCCCTTCCCCCCCCCCCCCTCCCCCCTCCAGCCGGTCACAGCAGATGGCCACCCTCCCACCCTGAGCTTGGTGCTGCTGGAGGTTTCTTCCTTTTAAAGGGACTTTTTTTTTGTTTTGTTTTTCGCCCGTCTGCCACCAAGTGCTTGCTGAAGGGGGGATTATTGGATCATTGGGTTTCTATCTATAACGCTGTTATCTTTATACTTAAAATACAGAGTGCCTTTAGATGACTAATGTCATTTAAGCTGATCTGGTGCTCTGTACATTTCATTAAAATATAATGGTTTCCACATATTTGGTTCTCAAGCTACAGGATGACCCTTGAAAACATTTTCAGCAACAAAATTAAACTCTGTCCATTTCACCGCACAGCAGACACAGGTACATGCAAGTGGATGCATTTCCGTTGGCAGCTACTTTAAGCAGCAACAAAAGAGGGCATCGCCTACAACATTTTTGCACTTCTGTGTTTTTGAATAGCAAAATCAGAGCGGTGTGTCTTTCTCGAGGGAACTGTCTTTGGCATCTCTCTGCTGTTTTCAAGGTTTGACAGCTGCCTGTTAACCATCTCAGAAGCGCTGCTATTTCAGTCGGGAAACACGCTCAGGCATAGCAGAGAATATAATTGAGAAAATGTATGAAGGGCGCTCTACAGGACAGAAAACACAGCATCAACTTCAGGAGCGATGGGGTTGTCTTTGTCATGCTTTGAACGACTGACGGTCAGAGTGTATAAGAAGAAATAAAAACATAAAGGGGCACGACTTTATGCTGCTGAGGGGAGTCGATCAAATCAAATCAGTCCTGCTCACAAAAAACAAGACAGACGATTTGTGTTTTCTGCTGTGTGATAAATGTCGTACCTTTACAGTCTCCTGTTATACCATCCATAAAGGTATGGGAGGGACACGCTCCAAGACACGCCCCGTTGTGCAGGGTGGCCTCTGCGTCCGTGCAGGCGTCACAGTCGTTGCTGTTTGGCCCGTCGCACAAAGCGCAGTCCAGGTGGCACTGCAAACACCTCCCTTGCTCTTTGTCCTCAAAGAACCTCTCCGGACAGTCCAGCATGCACAGGCCCTCGTGGAGAAAGTGATACTCCTCACAGCCTGTGCCAAGAACACTCGTAAATGCAGGAAGGATTTACTGCATGCATAAGGATCAGAGCCCTGTCATCAGTGCTGGATGTACTTTAACAGATTTTTTTTTCAACATGTGAAGACAAGCAAATCAGCAACTGTTATTCAACAGACAAGGATCAATGTTATCAGCCATGGTTTGGTCCGTATTTAACTGATTCTCCCGTTTATAAGTGTTCATGTTTTGCCCGTGTTTCGTTTATGTGCGTTTTGTGTATCAAGGCTCAGGTTGGTTACACCTGTGTTCATTATTTGTACCTATTCTCTGGGTATTTATAGCCCCGCCTCTCCCTCAGTCTCATCAGTCTGTCGGCTGCTTCTATTTTTGCACGTGTGGCGCGGCACAGCTGGAATACACAAACCAGGGTCTGATGAGGACACTGCACCCACTAGTCCTTTGTGTTCACAACTCATTTTAGCCTTTTAGGGTGATCAAATGTGCAATCCAATGCCTGCCCTTCAACATCTGTTCTATGATAAAATAATTTAAAAAAGGTACATCTTGTGACATTGTGCTATGCTGTAAATTCCATTAAAAGTAGAACTGTGTTGTCATGAGCCCTGTTCATTAAACAGGAGGCTTTAACAAAACAATAGAAAGATGATGGAGCTGTGTCACGTGTCAAGATTAATTGATCACTTTAAAATGATGGCTCTGACGCGAGGATGCCTCTCCTCGTGTCTCTTCCTCTCCTCCCAAATCTCTGTGAGGAGCACGAGGAGAGGAGGTGAGGAACCTGAGAAATGAGAAGAAGGCATCCACAGACACACAGAGTCTAAACCTTGTACACGTTGCCCTTAGAAAATTTGTTTGAAACGGTTTCAAGTAAGCTTATTGTGTGCTTGAATTATTATTTTTATTTCTGACATGAGTTTAACACATCTGGGAGCAAGTCTAATTCTATCAGCCTTATTCTGTCAGGGTTGCCGCTGATGGGGTTACAGCTTTTAAGTGACACAGTCGGCATTGTTTGCCACCTTTCTTTCCTGGCATTTAATTGGCATTATAGAGCGAGATTCCTGCCTCGCTTACTGACAGCAGCACATGAAACAGACACACATTCATAGAGCTCTTAAAAAAAGAGCGAGAGAAAAAAAAAATCAAACATACCGTACAGTGCTATTCCTCGCTCACATACTGCTGCTTTGGCTGCAGCCAGTGTGTTGCTTTTAATTTAGGTCTTTTGCTTACTGCCAACAGACTTTGTCCGTGGTTTGCGACTGGTCGTGCTAGCAACACTGCTTTCTTCATGTGCACAAGCTGTGCATGAGCTCACAGACAGATTTGTGCAATGGCTGAGCTGGATTGCTGGTGTTAGGGTAAGTGAAACTCTGAGTATGCTAAATTTTTTGATACAAACGATTAATCATTTGGAGTTATATTTCTGATCATCAGCTGATTAAAAGTGCAATGTACCCACATTTTTACCTCTGTTTTGGTCTCCACCATCTACTGAGTTCAGTTCTCAACAGATAACTAAACTACTTTGCTATTTAGTCAACTTTGGGGTGACTTGGTGAAATCGAAACAGCTATAAAACTCTATAAAGTTGCATAGGAAAAAAAGACAATGTTGGGGTAGAGGTAATTAATGATTGTTTGTCTGAGAGATGACACAAAAACTACCTTCTATCTTCTATAAAATCAAAGGTTTTGGCAGCTGGTCTGGAGCATTCAGATGTGTGTTAACACACGACAAGCAGGAAAGTCTACAGCAACAAAAATGACCTTGGAGAAGCAATTGTTGCTGCCCATCATTCAGGGAAGGGCTGTAAAGCCCTTTCCAAACAACTTCAAGTGCATCACTCTGCATCGAGAAGGATCATTCACAAATGGAAAAAGCATTCAACACAGTTGCCAATCCTCCCAGGAGTGGATGCTGCAGCAAATTTACCCTAAGGTCAGACTGTGCAACACTCAGACAAAATACAAAAAAACTTGATAGGCCATGCAACAGGACAATGATCCCAAGCACAGCGGCACATCTACAAAAAATGACTGAAAAGGATGAGAATATAAAGCACCTTGAGCTATATAAGTAAAACTGAATTGGATCCCGGTGTTGCAATAGTTCGGCCAAAAACCACATCTCAACTGAAATTTGATGACAGAAACATAAACAAACCCTAATAAATGAAAGCAACAATGTAATGTAAATTTCTCCACAACAATGTGAGAGACTGATACAGCTATATGGAAAATTATTCACTCTTTATTATGAAGTTTTTTTTTAAATTATGCCCCGATAAATAAAACATTAAACTTAAAGGTGGTGCACTTTTTTTCCCATGTGATTGTACAACTCAACCTGGGGGAATTGTGACGATGTGTTTGAAATTGTACTGCACTCCAATAGTTATTTAAAGTATTGAACTAAATGGCAACCCCATAGTAATGCTTTAGGAAAAAATAAATGCTTATAGTTGTAAAGAACATGCTGTACAGGAATCATGCATAATGCTTGCTGTGTTGTAATGCTGCTGGTAATCATATGGAGTCAGTCATGTATGCTGACAAAAGAATAGTAAAAGCACAGAAAGAGCTAAAAGCGGAAGACTGAAAAAGCTCCTACAGCTGAATTTGTGGTAGTTTGCATTGCATTTCAGTACCTGTGCAAACGCCGAGTGGGTCGCACTCCTGGCAGGCTGAGGGGCAGGGTTGGCATTCTCTCTCCTGCACAGTGTGTGCTGGAGGACACTTGTCTACACACTGGTGCTTGTGTAGGAGAAGAGGTTCTTCACAGCTGAGGCAGTGGGTAGCATTCCTCGCACAAGATGCACAGCCAGGTGCACAGCTATGACAAACCTGGCCTGCAGGAAAGCCCCTATTGGAAGCAACACAGAGCTTGATGGACAGGTAGAAAACGCAGGGCAGCACACTTAAAATATACTTTCCATTAGGTTTTTATTTATTCTGTTATTCGCTTTGTTCTTGCTGCAAACCATGTAGGAATAACATGTACTGGTAAAGGAGGCCACTTAGCAAATAGTAAAAAAAGGTCACATGGTCAGAAAGTTTAAATGAAGCTTCATAGCTTGGAGCTTCAGCAAGATCAATATAGGGTTCTGGCTTTAAGTACATAAAAAATTTAATAGAACATCACGTAGGAAATGTCAAAATCACAGGCATCTTCTGACATTTATTTTTGGCTCGCCAGAAGACGTGCCTCAAACATCTTGTGTGACATTTAGAAGATAGCAGCAATAGGATCGACCTCCTGACCTCACACACTCTTGAACACACTGCCCATCCTGTAGGAACAACTGAGCTTTGCGAGCACTCTGGCAGCGGATGCAGTGCTGAGCGTCCACACACTGCAAACAACCTGCAGGGCACGCCTCGCACACACCGCTCAGCTGACTGGCAATGAAGCCCCCCGGACACTTTAACACACATGTTTGCTGCGTGGTCAAAAATCGCCCTGAAGGACAAATGACAAAAGATGAACGTCATCATTGTTAGCTCAGAGCTCAGACAGCAAGCTGCTGAGGTCTGAAACTGCTTAAAAACAATAAACCAGTGACAAACCTTTTGCACATTTTGTACATTGGTTCTTCTCCGGTCCAGCGCAGGACTCACAGGATGGGTGGCAGTCCTCGCACTCCCCATCTGGAGGGCAACAACACTACAATCATCATAAAGTGTCATCTAACAACACAACACATAACAGACGCAAACTGACCCAGAACCAGGTGTATTTTGTTATTCTGCCCGAAAAACTTCATTCATGTACTGAAAGTGTTTGTTAACAAAATTACGTTTTAATCACTTGAAACCTCAGAGAATGGTTGCCAATCTTCTTATAGACTCATCGGACAGTTTATTAGTCTTACTCGCTAGTACTGGGCTGGACACTTGACCAGCAACAATGCTCAAGCAGGCTACAGCACTTCTCAGTAATGAAGGTGAACTCAGTCTGGGACCAACAAGCATGACGCATTCAAAGTGACTTAAAACAGCTTTCTTCCCCATACTGATGCTTAGTTTGACCTTCAGCAGGTCATCTTGACCATCTATATATGCCTAAATCCACCGAGTTGCAGATTTGATATCTGCTTTAATAAGCAGTTACAGATATTTAAACATGTGTAGATGTGTACCTAAAAGTGGCCAACAAGTGTATGCGCTGGAAGCTAGAATATTGCGTTTAGTCTAATTCAAACACTTTATATATTATATAAAACTTGAGCTACCAGCTTATTAGCACAACTGGGTGACTTGGTGAAACTGAAACAGCTACCATCTTTGAAGCTGGTGAGGCTAACACTGTCCAAACTCTTAAAACATCTACAAAGATGTTTTAATTCAATAGATTTTTAGGTCATGTCTGAACAGTAAAAATGTCAAAATATTACTATTTACTGTCAGTGACTTCTACAGTTCTCGTCACAATTTCCTGGAAACTTTTATACTATTTGACAGACCCAGCAAATCTGTGTTCTGTGGTCAGTTTGTATGCTTAGTAATCTTTCATGGCTTCTACTTTTGACTCAAATGCCTCGATCACAACATCCCACATAGCAAAATTGGTATGGCCCGGATCTGGACCACACAATGTGCTTACACATGGCCCACATACCGCAAAGAATGACGGCCCTTTGGTGGCCCAGATCTGGTTTGCCAGAGGTGGCCCATTCATGG